GGGGGGAGTATTAAATGACAGCATGTAATGTACCTAACAGAAAGCAAGACTTTTCAGGCAATCAATGTACCTCTCATTACTTCAGCTCAGATCAAGTGTGGGTGGGGTGTAATCTGATTTTTATCTGCATATGTTATAGTTTTTAGTTCTTCATGACATTGATCCTTCTAAAAGCAGAAGAGAAGATTATATATGAATACAGGGAAAGTGAAATAAATGCCACTTTTTAAATTACTTTTTTTTTTAAAGACTGAGTCTCCCTATGTTGCCCAGGCTAGTCTCCTGGGCTGAAGCAATCCTCCTGCATTAGCTTCCCAAAGAAGCTGAGACTACAGATGTGGGCCACTGGAGACAGCTTTATTTCTATATTTTGATATTACTCATGACAATATAAAGAAATCTTCCTGTTTACAAAGAGACAATGGATTGGCCATGCCCAAATTATTGGATTGCAGTCTTAAAGCTGGAAGAGATTTTAGTCAACCTTTAGCCTAAATCCTTTGTCTTATAGAAAATTGAGGTCCACGGAGGTTAAAAGGACTTGATCAGAATCAATGAGCTAATCAGTACCAGAGCTAAACTGAAACTAGAACTTAGGCTTTCTAATTCCCAAGCTGGTGTTTCTTAACAACATAGACCATTTAAAACCACTAGAGCTAAGCTCTTCTACATGAGAATCAGTCCATTTGCCTCAGAAAGTTCTCCAAGTCCAACTGTCCCCAATGGGTTGTTTTGCTTACACAGCCCAATTAGAGAAAACACCTAAGTAATAACCTACATGTTGATGGTGCGATTTAATTATCACAAATAAGGAATGATTTCAATAGACTCTTCAGTCTTCCTAATCAACTATTCTTAGGAAGAATGGTCTAAAAATAACTACTCTAAAATTAAAGCCATTGTTTCTTAAATTGCATCAAGAATTTATGTAGTTCATTGCCAACACTTCCACAAAAATTTCATCATTTTGTTATACAGAGGTACATTTTGCAACTTCCAAATGATGATACATTTTTCCAGAAAGATAATGTCCCCCAAAATCATGTTTCTTGGCTACATTATAATCTGTGGCTGTGTTAACACTCTGCTTTGAAATATTTCCAGATCAAGAATATTGGCGTAGGCTGGGGATGTGGCTCAAGCGGTAGCGCGCTCGCCTGGCATGCATGCGGCCTGGGTTCAATCCTCAGTACCACATACAAACAAAGATGTTGTGTTCGCCGAAAACTAAAAAATAAATATTAAAAAAAAATTCTCTCTCTCTCTCTTTAAAAAAAAATATTGACTATGTTTAGGAGATGTAGAATTTAAAAGGGGTTTCATCCCTATTCCAAACAGTTAAAGACTAACAGATGCAAATGATAAAAAACCCAACCCAGAAAGTCCACGAGTAATCTGACTTAAGACACAGCTACCTCAAGACATGTTATAGTCAGGACTCTTTCTGATGATGTTCTGTACCTTCTGACTCAGGTGTTTGGCAACAAGATGGCCAAACCAGCTTCCAACTGCCACATCCCCTTAAGCATCAAACCTCTTTCCAAAATTCCCAGGCACAAATATCTCTAGCTGATCCATGTATCCATTCCTGATCAATCACTAGGGCCAGGGAATATGATTGGCTCAGGCCCAAGTACATGTTCCACCCCCAGGGTCAATTGTGGTCAGCTTTAATAGAGCCAAACTGAGAGTTGGGAACAGAATGGTTCCTTAGAGGGTGATATTATCAAAGGATGAATGAAAAAAGCAAAGAATAATATGTCCACCACAAACACCCATGTATCCATGTGCTAGAATTGTTAACTACAGCTGACCCCAGGCTGAAGAGAGGTCTTCTGCAGAATTACTTTATGGGATTGTACTATACCAGCCAGTAAGGATCTAAGGTGCAGTCCTCTGCAACTGTTTTAACGTATGTAAACCCCATGTGGTTTGTTGGCTTGTACACCAGTGATCACATTCACATGTATTAGCATAAGTAAAAGTATTTACTTGGCTCCAAGAACCTGAATGCAGAGAGGCGGAGAGATCCACTGGAAAGACAGCAACCAGAGGAGTCTGTCACATTGGCCAGAGGAGCATGCGATTGCCCAGAGCTGGTTGGGTTGGGGAAAGACTCCTTAGGTCTGTGAGATGCTTTCTGGATAGTCTCAAAACTGGGACACTTCTCAGAATAAAAGGGAGTGTAACACCGATGGGACATGGGGATAAGAGAAAAACTGGAATTCTGCCAGGCAAACTGGGGCACCTATCTAGGTGTGTGGCACTGGTGAAACCTAGTGTTAACAATGCTTATCTGAATGTGTTGGGATACAAGGTACATAGCCCACATGTGTTGGTCTTTTGTCACTATAACCAAAATATGTGACAAGAACAACTTATAGGAGGAATGATTTATTTAAGCCCATGGGCTCAGAGGATTCTGTGGTCAGCAGGCTCCAAGGCAGAAACATCATGGGAGAAGGGCCTGGTAGAAAAAGGCCACTCAGCTTATGGCAACCAGGAAGCAGAGAGAAGGGAAGGAGACTGAGAAAAGCTAAACCTTTCCAGGGCATATCCCCAGTGACCTCCTTTCTCCAACTAGGTTCCTCCTTCCAGTAGTTCATTCAGCAATCAATGGATTAATCCACCAATGAGGTCAGAGCCCCCATGATTTAATCACTTATCAAAAGCACCACCTCTAAACACACGAGATTTGGGGGACATTCTAGATCCAAACCATAATACTATGCTCACAAAATACTTCTGAACACATTCATCTCATTTACAGCTTCAAACAGTTGCACTCATGGAGTTTGAGTCTGGGCACACCCCAGCACTCTATCATCGTTTATTACCAGGATGTGATTGCCAGAATGGTTCACCTACCATTTTGATAAGATCCTTGTAAGACATTTTTATCTTCTTATAGAACCAGGGATAATTGTCCAACCTATTTCTGGATTTACTTCAATTTATGGCCATTGTGAGGGGTGTATCCAACCAGGCTTCTCCTTCTATCTGGGCTACTGGAAACTTTAAAGTTATACATGTGGCCCTAGTGAAGTAAGTGTGACTGTCAGGGCATGCACATTTTTAGCTTCATGCCTGACTCATTTGCACCCTCATCCCTTGGGTTTCCTTTCTATAAGTTTACATGGCCTCATACCTTTAGGTTCCTTGTTAATTACTTTAAGTTCTTTAAGTAAGGGGGAGTTACTGCCCAGCCTGTCTACAGAGATGTGGTAGCCATCTTTTCTGCTGATTTTTAATTTTTTCTTTGTGTGTATGTGTGTGGGGACGGGTACCGAATGAACCCAGGAGTGCTCCATCCCTGAGTACATCCCCAGCACTCATTTTTAATTTTGCGACTGGGTCCCAGTAAGTTGCTCAGGCTGGCCTCAGTCTCCCAAGTATCTTGAATTCCCAGAGCATACCATCATGCTCGGCAGATTCCTAAAGTTTACAAGAGAATGTCAGTCCTGCAGGAGGATCTCGAATTCAAACAAACCTTTAGGGAGAGAAAAGAAAAAGAAAAAACAAACAATATTGTCAAAGTTGTTCAGGTATGATGGTGGTATTGTAGCTTTGGATAGGCATAGCGTCACATGCCTATAATCCCAGCAGCTATAGTGATATATCCCAGACTTTGTTGTTATGTTGTTTTAAAAAGTGAATTATCGGGCTGGGATGTGGCTCAAGCGGTAGCGTCCCAGTTCGATCCTCAGCACCACATACAAAGATGTTGTGTCTGCCGATAACTAAGAAATAAATATTAAAATTCTAAAAAAAAAAAAAAGTGAATTATCACTGAAATATTTGCAGACAGATCGGTAGTGGCCAAGTCAGTAGATAGATATAGTCATATAATTCTTTCCCAAGGTGGGATAACAAATGTTTTTGAACCATACAGTTTGCCACACTCACACACACACCTCCCCTGGGAGTGGAGTCAATCATCAACCTTTGTTTTTTTTTTTTTTTTAAACAGTGCTAGAGCTGAACCCAGGACCTTACACATGCTAAACACACACTATACTACTGAGCCACACCCCAGCTCCTAATAATTCACTTTCTTCTTTTTTCTTTTATTTGCACCACTTTAATTGAACTTTGGGGTCGTCTATCACCAAGATACACCCCTAGCTCTTGTTTAATGTTTTTGTTTTTAATTTTGGAACAGAGTCTTGCCAAGTTGCCCAGGCTGGCCTCAAACTTTGGATCCTCCTGCCTCAGCTGGGATTACAGGTGTGTGCCGCCACACCTGGGTAGTAATTGACATTTTAAACAAGTACTCCAGCAGACTCCATGCAGGTGGTCCTCAGACCTCCCTTTGAAAACTGCAGCTATAGTGATATATCCCAGACTTTGTTCCAGAAAAGCTTTTCTTGTTTTAAGAAACTGGGCCATTTTCTTAGGATCCAATATATCTCTTGCTCTAATCTCTAATTATTTACAGTACTTTTGGAGAATAAACTTTTTGAGTCCTGCTCGAAAAAAGAGGATTACATGGTCAGGCTAAGTCTGTGACAGGCCAACTACTTGCCCTACTGAGAGCAACTTACTGCCCCTTACTTCATATAAGAACCCTGCTTCAATTTATTTGATCTAGCATTTCCCAACTACACATGGAACTTTATGTAATCCTATTAACAGTTCCATAGAACACCAAGTTAAAATTTTAAATAGTATTTTAAAACATTGTCAAAAATTAGGGCTTTTGGGCTGGGGATGTGGCTCAAGCAGTAGCGCGCTCGCCTGGCATGCGTGCGGCCTGGGTTCAATCCTCAGCACCACATACAAACAGATGTTGTGTCCGCCGAGAACTAAAAAATATTAAAATTCTCTCTCT